GGTGTGCTGGCCAGGATACATTGCATTCTCACTTACAATCCAACTAGCGCACTGTATAAATCTATCTAACTCTCATTTCTCTAATAAATCTATAAATTTAAAATAAAATATTGACAGAAATTAAATTTCATGTAAAAGGACCAGAACTTTTATAAAAAATCAAATCAAAAATATATATAATAATCACATATCAAATATTGATATGTGATTATTAAAGACCAACCTTTTTTTTTATAAAAGTTCTGGTCCTTCTTTCAGTCAGCCTTGGTGTGATAAGCCCTTCAAATTGTTATACCCTATTTAGGTTATCTAATTCTGTCTAAAAAAGTATCAATATTGGCTTTTTCACATAATTTATTTCACTTGTCCTTTGCCATCTTGAAAACTTTTCAAAATTTTCTCTGTTTTTTATTATTGTGCACACTGTAGAATTTGTTAAACCAGTCACTGCATACATCTGTCTTTTTTTCTTCCACTTTCAGCTGCTTTAATTATTTCTACTTAATAGTTAATTAATAATTATACAATTATTTTAATCAAGGATTTCAAGTACCTACAGCACATTTTGAGTTAAAAATTTGTTGTAATCTGCATAAATTCTGATAGTAGTTACATATTTATTAAAAACTTTCCCAATCAGTTTTATGTTTATAGTTGTTTGAGATGAAAATAAATCCTATTACAGATCATAGTAACGGTAGTGCATCCTGTTCTATTACAGTGCAGTGCTATATTTTACATTTTAAGTATGCTTTCTTAATTTCTTAATTAAAATTTTTACATTTATGAAATTTTCATCTATTGTATTGATGTTTTGAATTAAAGAAATCATTTTATTTGTGATGCTTATTCAGGATAAGGATGATTCTGATCCCAAAATTGGAGAAATGATAAATATCCAATGGAAGAAACTTTTATTCTAAATATCCATCTCATGTATATCCAATTAAATACCACTTATCTATCCAGGAACTGCTTTTAAAACACAAATTAAGACAAAATTGTCAAAGTTTGGAAGATTGCATTTATTGTTTTAGAATCATCAATTTTAATTTTAAATAATTTTGTTTTATTAACACATACTAATTCTTAATTATTCTTATAAATATCTAACTGTAATAACAACAAATACAGTCCACATTACAACATAAAAGGAATTTACAACAGCTATATCATGTAAATATTAGTGGCATGATTATGCTGTGTGCCTATAGTTATAATATGCTGGACTTTTAAGTAAATAATCACACAGTATGTAAACATTTTTGCTTGTAATTTGTACATTTGATTGTATAATATTATAATTTGTACATTTGATTGTATAATACATATGTAGCTATTAGGAATAACCTGTGCAATAATTTAGAACTAATATTAAAATACAAGGATTTTTTTTTCAACCTTCACTAACGCATGAAAAAAAATTGGAAGCATGTGAGACAGGGACAGGGTGCACACCTAGTAAATAGTATATTTCCTCACCACTTAGTGTCGTGCCAAGCTATTCTATTTTAGACATTTGCTACTCTGCAGTAAACACGTAAACATGATGCCACCAATCCAGTCTCCTACCAACTGTGAAGTACGAGCAATAATTTGATTTCTACAGGCTGAAGGGCTAAATGGAGGTGAAATTCATTGAAGGGATGTGTAATGTATATGTTAAGAACATCGTGAGCTAGGGATGTGTGCATGAATGGTGCAGAAAATTCAAACAAGGACATGACAATGTTTATGATGAGGGCGGTTGAGGGAGGAAGTGTGTGATAACTGACAATTTGGTGGACAAAGTGGATCAATTGGTGCGAGAAAGGCATAGGTTTACAATTTCTGAGCTTAGTGAAGAGTTTCCTCAAATTTCAAGGCCCACACTGTATACTGCTAACTGACAGTGTTAAAGGTTGGCTGAATGGCCTGGTGGCAACAGTTTGATGTCTGCTTGAATTGACAATGCAATTATGTGGAAAAATAGGTGAAGACTGTAACTATCTTCTACATATAAAGTAGTTTTGTTCTTCATTCTTGTTTTTTTATTCTGGGTTGGTGGAAGTTGAAAAAAATAACCATCTTAGTTTGAGTTTGGCAATGGCTCTTATTTCTGGTGCCTTAAAAATAAATATAAATTGTTCATTGATACTATCATTTGCTTTCATTTAAATGTTATGCACCATTCTTAAATTTTGAAAGATCCTGGAAGAGTCCTTGAATCCACTTTGCCAAAACTTTGGAAATCCTGTTTGTAATAATCTAGCAAATATTGTAAAAGCCTGTAAAAGAATACACAAACTTCTTAATGTCATTATATGTGACATACTAGCAAATGAGCCCAGCATTGCTCGGGCAAATGATTTGAATGCTTTGGTAAATATTTGGAAATGAACTTATTACTATCAAAAATAAAAAATTTCATCTAAAACAGCACAGTAGAAGTCGTTCTTCAGGTTAAGCCTTAATCCTCTCCCTCTCCCCCTATGGGGGATTTCCAAAAATTCCTTCTTAGTGTGCATTTTCATGACATACCCTAACTGTGTACCAAATTTCACCTCTTTAGGTTCAGCGGTTTGCTCTGGGTGATGATGAGTCAGTCAGTCAGGACATGTAATTTTATATATATAGATTACAGTCGACCCCCCTATAACGTACGTTCCTATAACGACAATTCCTATAATGTAGCGAAAAAATTGTAGAAACTTTCGTATAACGTACCTCCTATAACGTCATTTCGCGACAAGATTGATAGAGTCTGGACCAATAGTGGATGAGCAGCCGAACTACTTACCTCTGACCCTACGCCACGCTACGGAGCGGCTAAATTGAGTTTGCTATCGTCTGTTTAGTATTATATATAAATTAGGTACTGTACATATAATTATATATTAATTATATATAAATTAGGTACTGTATATATAATTATATATTAACTTAATTTATTGTAACTTTATTATAATTATATATATGCTTTCTGCCGCCTGGCAACACGCTACGGAGATTTTAGGCTAGTAAGTTGAGTTTATTATCGTCTGTACAGTATGTAAATTAGGTACCGTAAGTCTAATACAGCACTAATTTTATACATTTCTTGTGAAAGAAACACTTCTTATTCAACGGCCATAAAAATTATTTATATTAATGATGTCTCCAAAGGTCAAGTTATTTTTCTGCGAAAAATTCGTTATCAGAAATCGCGGCCGCCGTTTCGTGCGCTGTTCCGCGACGAAAACAAGCTTGAGCAACGGCGTAGTCGAACGGTGCACACTCGGTAAGTAATCCTACAATTTTTTGTTTATAGCATAGTTTATACGGATTATTCCCAAAAAATTATACGTGTTTTGGAAATGTTGAGTGGAATTAGTCTAGAATCAGTTAATTTTATAGAAGAAAACCTTTCAAACAGCCTTAGTCTGTAAACTTCACACGTGTCGGGCTGCGATTGGCTCATGTATTTAATGATTCCTACAACGTAATTTTCGGTTAGCGTGGAACGTATCTAAGCGTTATAGGGGGTTCTACTGTATATATACCAGGGATGGACAACAAGTAGATTTTGATCAACCAGTCGATCACGAAGTCAATTTTGGTCGATCGCTCACAATGTCTTGACATAATGTGTTACACTTGTAACCGAAAACAACTGTAGTGATATCGGACCTCCGCGTTTTCCCTCAGATGCGATTTTGTAGGTTCATATGCAATACATTTGTGTACAGTTGTAAAAGGGGAATAAGAAATGTAGAAAAAGGGTCGTAAAACTGAAAAAAAGAAAGGCAGGAAGAGGGACAGAGAGAGGACGGGTGAAGTGGTGGTCCCCAAAAGTGACAATATTGAGTTTCAATTTTTCTTCTGTTTAAAATGTATTTTTTCTTTATGTTTTAAATTAAATTGTGGCTTTTCTTACGTATCTAAACATAGTATGTACAGTAGAGCATTGGTTATCCGACTCAATTGGGGACTCAGATTGGTCGGATAACTGGAAAAATCGGATAACCGAAAAGAATGAAAAAAAATACATTATTAGTATAGTATATTAGTATATCCCATGTAATTAGTATATTAGTATATTGCTATTAACCAACTTCGTGTTGAATTTTCATTGATGTTAAGCCTAACAATTTTTTTTTTTAAATAATAATTGTCGCTATTGTATTGTTAAAAATTATTTTTAAATTATTTTATTGCTCACAAAACAAACAACCACTCATAATTAGAAAATTAAGTCTCGTTTAAATACTGGTCTCCTTTCAATGGTCGAGCCGTGTTGCCAGCTAAAACATGCAAAAATTTAACAAAAATAATATTAAAGTAGCCAGGACATAGCCAAATATTGTAGTGCCACATCACTATCGGACATTTGAAATTTGCCGACTAGAACGGTCAGTTAATTGATGTGACGGTTAATCAGGGGTCGGATAATCGATGCTCTACTGTATTTCACACCTCCCCCTCGCCACTTCGACTTGTTATCATAGGCATAGTCTATCACAACACATTTTTAAGATAAAAAGTAGATCTTATGTACATAAAAGTTGGCCACCCCTGATATATACTGAAATTAAAAATTACCTGATGTGATACAGGAAAATAATTATTTCATATGTAATTCTAATGCAACAAGCTACTTAAATAATCCATTAAAGTCGAAGGCTTTTGCATATTGGTATAATTTGTCTAGTCTGAAAATGTGGATAAAGATTAAAAAAACTATTATTATAATCCTACATTTTTTTTTTCCTTGATACACAATTGTTTTTCACAAAAATTCTCAATTTGTTTTAAGTCAATGTATGATAAGATTTTATTATTTTCAATAATAAAATTTTTTCCTAAAAAATGTTCCAGAAAACTGGTTTCATCTTATATGTTGCTAATTATAGTAATCTTATGGTTAGAATAGTCTTTTCGTAAAATTAAAATTTTTTTAACATGTGAATTTATTTCATTTGTTTATGTAAATTTCTTAAAAATATAGTTTTGATAAAGTTTTTTTTTTTTTTAAATTTTAGAGTGAATATATCATGTCCAAAGTGTGTTGAACCTTTACATCCAAATGATATCCGCATGGTTCTTAACGATGAAAACATAATGTCAAAATATGAAAGTTTTTTGCTTCGGCGAATTTTAGTAACAGATCCTGATGCAAGATGGTGCCCAGCTCCAGATTGTGGGTGAGTACAGATAAAATTTACAAGCAAAGTATAGTTTATTGATAATTTGATTTTAATTTTTTTTAAATGTACTATTTTATTAAAAATTGATTGATATTNACTGCCCCAGCATAAACTAATGTATGAATGTCTGAGAGTGTAGAAATTGAATGAATGTAGTTTGGTAGTAAGTGAGTGTTTACATAATCTAGTGTTTTTCCTACTACCTTTGACGTGTTGATTTTCAGTATTCGTGGTCTTTGTGTGGGATCTGTGCCTGTATATTTAGTGAGTGTTTCCTGAAATATAAGTGAGACTGTATTAACTAAATCTATATTTACGTTATCAGTGATGGATGAGGAAGTGTCTGTAGTATCATTAATGGTAGTTGTTGTATGTGTACTATTATCAATGCTTGTTGCTGGATTATCCTGACAGGTTACACGATCTTCATTAATGTTAAATGTTTCTGTCTGTTGATGTATTTGATCAGCAACCTGTTGTTTGTTAAGTTCAAGTGTTGTTTGTGGGATAAGGTTGTTGTGTATAATTGTTTGTTTTTGATCGACAATCCTTTGTTCGGTGACAGTGAGATGAGGATATTGTTGTGTGAATCTATGGTGTAGTTGTTGTCTGTATGCTGTCATGTTTGTTTCGAATCTTGTGATGGTGTAGTAAGTACGGATGATAAACTCGTTCATTTCTGTTGTCCATTTCATCTGTTGGCGTGGTTTTCTAGCCTTTGTGGTCTGTGGATGCATTGCCAAAGAAACACCAAGGCTAGGTTGATTCCTCACATCTGTTGAGGGCATTGCAGTAGCCATGCTTGGGCCATTGCTGCTTTCGCCACCGGTAACCAATGGAGACTGTGGCCTATTTTTCGAACATGAGCCTCTGCCTAACCCATGAACGTGGACCTTGTTAACCCGGGCGACGTCCGAGCCGGTATCACACTTTGATCTGGTTACTGCCATAATAATTATCTCCACAGAATGTGGATGTGGTCACTCTTAGCTTCATTTCTCCCCATAGACCTTACTGGCATGGGTGTCCCTACCAGGAGTTTGTGCTCCAGCCTGCATTGCTCTATGGTTCAGTAAAATTACTGGGCTCTTCTACCACAACCAGGTGGTGGCCTGACCACGGGAGAGTTATTATTATTATTATTGATTTTTCAATGTAGAATAAATTTACCATTTGGAACACATTAATGTATATTTTAAATTTTAAGGTTTCATTAAGATTCCATTATTCTGTGCCTGAAGAAGAAAATCTGTAGTTTGTCGAAAGTACTTTAGTAATGTTTCAAGTAAAATAATAATGTTGATAGACAGTATTATTATTTTTTAAAAAGTTTTTGGCATTGAAAGAAGCAATTTTGAGCATTTTACAAAAAAAGTCTTTGAACAATTTTTAAAATTTTATTATTAATAATGTAATGCTTTAAATACATTTAATTAACTATTTAAAATATGTGAAAGAAAATTGTCTGACCATATACAGTTTCTCCAAAAGGCAAAATCATCTCTTGTATGAAAATAAATTTTCAAAANTTGGCATTGAAAGAAGCAATTTTGAGCATTTTACAAAAATAATCTTTGAACAATTTTTAAAATTTTTTATTATGTTAATTAAATTATGTAATTTTCAGATATGCTGTTATTGCTAGTGGTTGTGCTAGCTGTCCAAAATTGAAATGTGAACGTCCTGGATGCGATACTTATTTCTGTTATCACTGTAAACAGGAATGGCATCCTAATCAGACATGTGATGCAGCACGTGCTCAACGAGCTCGCCACTCTTCCAATCCTCGGTCAGCATCTGTGTCTTTTAGCCAAGATTCTATTATTCAAAGTAAGCTTGCATTGTTTATATCAATTTACTGAATTTATTTATTTATTTTCTTTTATTATTAATTCTTTGAATACATTGTGATGCAGTTACTGTGTAATGTCTTAACAATGATATTGTATTGAAATGTGTGGCATTTCTGTTTTTCCTATACTAATCTTGTAATATAATTGAGATGGGTTGATAATGATGATGATAAGCGCCGAACCCAAACAGTTAGGAGAAGTTTAAATTTGGTACATAGGATACATTATGAGAACATACACTAAGAAAGGATTTTTTGAAATTCCTCCTGTGGGGAAGAGGGACAGGATTAAGACCGTGAAGAACTCGGCTGCTACTATACTATTTTAGATGCTTTTTTTGCATTTATGCAGGAAATCAAACATATTTTTAGACCCTTCTAAAAATTCTCAATGTTATTTAATGTTCTATTGTATATAAAGTTGACACAGAGAGTGCATTCGCACAAGTTTGCTTTATTTGAACTCTTCATCTTAATGTTTGATTTTATGTTCAAATTTATATATATGAATGATTCTGGAAGATCTAACTTATTTTTTGAATTTATTAAAACTGAAGAAGAACCCAGAAAGAGTTACGAAAACATTTATTATTTATCACTTAGTGATACTATGCACTGGTTAGTGGTTGCAGTGAGTCTTATCTGCTTACCACACCGGGATAATGATAAATATGCGAGAAATTGAGTTTGATATGGTTGATTTATTGAACAATTATCAACTACAGGTTTGGTGAAACCCACTCATGTCATTAATTAATGGATGGCTATAACAGGGCTAATTATTGAGTGGGGAGGGTGGTGAGTAAGTTTATAGGAGTCTGTTCTTTAAAATAATAAAAATTCACTTCCATTTTAACAAATAAAAGTATATTTCATAAACCAAATAAAATTTAAAATACACATGGATATATACAAAGTAACCTAGTAACCTAGAGAGCATTAGCTTATCTAACTATAATGCTATTACTATATATTGTGAGAGAGTTCACAATAAATATTAGTATAATACCTCAGTTATATATATATATCTTCAAGAGATGGGAATCATAGGTGATCAGGTACAAAATTAATATATATGGCGTTACTGTAGAATGTGCACAGAGGTTGGCATATAAACTCCTTTTATACAAATATTCTTTTCCAATGAGAATTAAGTAATTTGACCATCTGATGGGATGTGAAGATGAGTCTTAGTCAGATATTTAGTCATAGAGAAGATAATCTCTCTCAGGAACTAACAGTCAAAAAGGAAACGTTTGTTCTGTGTTCCCCTCTAGTTTTTTATAAAATAAAAGTTTCATATTTAATATCAAAATATTATATTGATTTAAAAGCTTATAAAAATACCAATTCAATATTCAGATTCTCACAAATATGTAAAAATTCTCTAATTAGTCTCGAAAGAGGGGGACCTAATTCTTGCACTCGATGAAAATGGTAAGATCGGCTATAATCTAATAATCTTAATCTTTGCTATCATTACTTTTTGTCTGAGCAACACCGGGTTCATCTGCTAGTATTCAATAAATTCATTCAAAATAAATTTACTTTTTGTGAACATCATAATGCATCTGTGTGTGCCTATTTGTTAATATTTAGCGTGTGTGTGTATGTCATTATAAATGACTACATATGTTTGACTACTAGTTGTGTGCCGGATTGTTAAAAATGTATATTTGCAAATACGGATTTAGATCATTAGTGTGAGAGTAGCCGGGGTTACGGAGTAGGTAGTACTCATGTAACACTTAATCGGCACAGATTCCCCGAAATCTGTCTCCGAAGTTTCGAATCGAGAGATCCGATCTTATGTCAAGATTCGTTTGACCGGGAGGGTGGTAATATTTAGGAAAAGGGGATTCAAGACTGTGAAGTCTTTATCCCAAATTGTCAGGGTCCCGACACCAGTTAATCAATCTTATTATACGCGGATTAACACGCGTATGCGATCTGATTCGGTCACGCAAACAAGAGACATCCCAATTAAAAAACGATATAATAAATTTAATAAAACAAGGAAATAAACTCATACAAAAATCTCAATGAACGAGAGATAGAACTACTACAACTAATATACAAAAGGAGATAATTAAACTTATATTATACCCTATTCGCGATCGAGAGAGAGAGCTCACAAAACATTATAAAACATACGACCTGTTTAGTTGTCGTTCATCTTCATCTCTGTATGTAACTTTGGAGATAAAGTTCATTTACTACTTCGTATGGGAGATCACTATGTGCACAAAATCCAAGTATCATTTCTATGTGCAGACTCTAGACTTATTCTGTATGTGACTCGTCTAAGGACGTTGGTCATCCGGAGGGAAACGTATGTGGAGTTTGGACACTTTCGGATCTGTCGCTGAACTCCCCAAATTCGGACTAATTTCCCTTATATCTCCTGAATTTCGACCAATCATCGGCCAGTAACTCTTTCATGAGAACGAATGAAAGGGGAATGAATGAGGGGTAGCCATTTCCCATCTGAGCAGGATTTTAACCAGATAAGGGAAAGTCAGAGGATGTTCTCTTCTGTGAAAGGAAGTAACATCTGTTATCTGCCTTTTCCCACGTTAAAACAGTATTTTTCTCACCAAAAATGAAGTAATATTTGGTGACAATATTTAACATAATTAATAAAATTATTAGCTTAGACCCAGGGGCCTTTCGGGTCTCACATTAGTGTCTAGATCCACGGATACAGATCTCAACTTTCGTACTCATTTGGTGCTGGTGCATGTGACCTTGGACCAATAGTTGATGCGTTGTGTTAGTAATGCGACATGTTTTGACTTGCACTGCATGTGGTTTTGTTTATAGTGTGAAAGTGTGCGAAATTAGAATTCACCACAAAGGCAGACAGGATAAAGTAACAAAAATTGATATAATTTTCCAATTAAACTATTTTGTGTCTTTATACAGATTCTATTTCGGGGGATTTCAACTTCACAGTACAAACAGTAGCATGCAAAATTACAGCAATAATAATAGATCGCTATATCCAAAACACTTGTACAATACAGATCCTGATTGCGACATTATATATAACCCAAAACCTTAAAACTAACCTCAATCAGGTACAATTTTATGGTTCCCTGAGGGGGGTGGGAACCCCCAAATTGTAGACCCCCCTGTGTGATCAAATAATGTCTAATGAACCGTACCCATAGGGGTACGGTTCATTAGACATTACTACGAGATATAGCTTCCTAAAATCAAGCCATGCGAGATTGCGGCATTCGTTTCTCTGCTATGCCACTTCTCTTTTTTTCCAGGTCCTGTTTACACCTTTGCTCCTAATATTTCTAGGACCTGTCATCCCATCCAAGGGACAGGGAATAGATAAGAAAGTTCTAGAAGAAAATAGAACAATAGAACAATGGATAGAAAGAAGAAATGAAACTAAACTAAAATTAATGTTTACAAAAATATAGCTTACTGCCACAATAGTTTAGTGTGACACGGGATAGCATAGATTACGTTTGTTTTTGGAGAGTGTTGAGTTAAATTAAAATAAAAACTAATGTTGACAAGAAAGTTAAGTAGTGTAATATGTACGATAGTAAATGACGAATGTGCTAAATGCAAAATTTGTGAAGTAAACTATTCCTGTAAGGGTAAAGGTACAACATTGTTAAAAAATCACCTCCAGAGGAAATATACACAAGAATATGCTTTATTCTTAAAAGAAGACTTTGCTAAGAAGAGTGCCAACAAAAACGTTCAACAGGGAACGTCTTTACAAACAGTAAAAAGAGAATTTAGACAAACATTTTTTAATGAATATATAGAAAAAGTCAAAATGTGGGATAATACAAACCCCAAATCAATAAAAATTGACTATTTAATTGCAGAAATGATAGCTTTATCTGATTTACCCTTTCAACACTTTGGGGTTCTGACGATTGATGGATCATGTTGTTCCAAATTATGTTCTAAAAGGCAGGAAATATTTTAAGGAACTTGTTTGCAGCGAACTTTACAATAAAGTGTCATCAAAAATAAAGAACATGTTGAAGGATTTTGAGAAAGTTTCCTTTACAACAGATAACTGGTCAGATTCTTCATCAGGAGTTTCATTATTATCCTTAACGTGTCATGGCATTACAAAAGATTTTATAAGAAAAAATATCATTTTGAAAGCAGAGATCCTTGATGAACACCACGCGGGAGATTACATTTTGGCAATATTTCAACGTATGCTTGAAGAGTGGGGAATCCTGAAACAGAATGTGCACAGCATGGTAAGAGATGGGGGACCCAACATGAAGCGTGCCTGCACTTTATCTGACACAAATAATATCGATTGTACAGCACATCAGCTGTATCTGGTGGTCAAAGAAGCTATTAAAAATATTGATGCAATATCCATATTACTTACAAAATGCAGAAAAAATTCAGGACATTTCAACCATTCTACAATGGCAAAGCAAGAATTAGAAAAAATACAAGTTTGACTCAATCAAAGAGTTTTAAAAGTTTTGCAAGACTTGCCGACACACTGGAATTCTAGCTATTACATGTTGGAAAGACTTGATTGCATTAAGGATTTGTTGTTGCTTTATTCTACTAATAATAAAATAGAACAGTTTGATGCCAAAGAGTGGATTTTAATTCAAGAATTAGTGAGAGTATTGCAGCCTCTGGAGGATACCACAAAAAAATTGAGTGCACAAAACATATGTATATCTGATGTTATTCCTCTAGTATGAGCATTAAATAAATTGTATGTTGAGATTCAAATTTCTGCTAATAGTGCAGAAACTCTGAACATCAGCACACCCGCTGTTGTTGACTTTTTTGTCTTCTTTGAAGAATGAATTAGATTATCATTTTTCTGAAATCGACAAAAATATATTGTTCCAAATAGCAACATTTTTAGACCCATGTTACAAAGGTAAATTCTTCATTGACTTTCTTATCTGAGATATAAAACAGAATTAATTCTTTTGAAGACAAAGTCCTTTCCAAAAAAATAGGAAACACCATTTATTAACTTTGTGTTCCAGACATTACACTTTTGGTGACTGACCTTCCCTTTTAGGCTACTGGCTGCCAAACAGTCCTTTAAAAAACACAAAAATATCCAATTAAAAATATAAACGTTTTTAAAAAACAGGAACTGGTGATATTCGGACATCTTCTCTTTTCCGTCATACCTTCTTGGGGTTGTTTTGGCTTTTATCTACAACAGAATAAGTGCTGGTAAAATGTAGATGAGGAAAGCTGACAAAGTTAATAAATGGTGGTTCCTATTTTTTTGGAAAGGACTTTGTCTTCAAAAGAATTAATCATAATTATCTCCATCGGATGAAAATTTACAAAAAAAATATAAAACAGAAATTACTTAAAGCTTTAGAAACAGAAGTAAATATCACAATTACAATTAGCACAGAAAAACCAAATGCTGTAAGAAAAGAACATTGCTCTATGGCCAATATGTTAGATAGTGACGACGAAGATGAGGAATCTGAAAACCAAATATTATACACTAATGCTAATTTGCTCATAGAATATGCTAAAGAAAAAAGATTATCAAGAGACCAAGATCCATTAAAGTATCAGGAGATTAATAGCACAAAGTTAAATGTGAGGGAAAAAAATAATAGTAATAAAATAAAACAAATAACTGAAAATAAACACAGTCCCCTGACAGCCAACTCGGCCAGGTTACAATGGGAGCAACAATGCAAAGAACCCCAGTTGGCCAACTCGGCCGTAATACAAGGGAAATACAACACAACACAAGTCCCTGATGGCCAACATGACCAGGACCCAGTGGGAGTGGTAATAAGACTGGAATCCCCAAATAGCCATTTCGGCCAGATTACAATGGGTGTTCTGAGCAATGTTGCCACGTCTATTGAATTTTCGGTAGATCTACCGATTTTGGGACTGATCTACCGATCAAAGCACCAAATCTACCGAAAAGTTTACGATAATTCAAGAAAGAAATTTTTATTTTCAATGTAGCTAAAAATTCTGAATAAAACATTTCTTTGTACCTTCATTTCTTATATATTGTAAGAGACTTCATTGCAAAGATTCTGTCTCGTTTTGTTGAGAATATCTTGTGTCTGCCCTATTCTTCAGCTAATGGAATAGAAAGAATATTTTCGTAAATAAATCTGTTAAACACGAAACACGGAAATAAACTGACTTGTGAGTTCTGAAACAATCACTGGCTTACTTCTTACTAAACAATTAATTGGATAAAAATTACTGTTACGATTTTCCTGTAAAATATAATTTAATTTCAAAAATAAGAAACAGTGTTAAAAACATACAAACGGAAGATATTGAATAATAATAATAATTATTATTAATATCCGAAAAATAAAAGATAATACTGTATTTTGTTAGAAAAATAAGGCAAAATGTACCTACTTAATTAGTAAATTATTACTGTATTTTTTTACGTAAGTGTTCTGTGTTAGTTTTTTGTTTTTAATTGTTTTATAGTGTATAATAAAATAAATGACGAAAAAGAATGTTATTGTTTATGTGCACTCCTTTCTGCCACAAAAAGTCGATTTACCGAAAAATTACCGAAATCTATCAAAAATTGCCTAATGAATCTACCGATGGCAAGTGTGAGATACACAGTGGGTCAGGGGTTAATCTGGTACTGACCACTTAATCTGTACAGGCTGGTAAAGCCCGATCTCGGAGTCGTAGGATGGCAAGGAGGGCAAATCGAGTGGGGAGTGCGTCGGTAAGTCGACAGGTTTCCTCGGATAGACAAGAGACAGGTTTAACAAATAACAAAATAAATGTTTATTCTATAACTAAAGTAATATAGGAGTATACAGTTACTGACTACAGGAGTATTACAGGCGTATTACAAGTTACTGATTATAGCTTAGATGCGGATAACATGAATTTATCTAAAAGGGAGCTGTAACTATTCACTATGCCGCGTGAGAGTTTACAAAGAGAGTTATATTGGTGGTCCGTTATACCTTATGTCGGAGGACGGTAGGCGACGATCCTTCTGGACTATGGAAGCTGGCTGTCTGTCACAGGGTTATTATGTCTTCTACCGGCTTCTCCTCGGACAGGATCGGGACGGGAGACACTGTATTCAGACCTTCCTGAGGATCGTTCGGAGGGACGATCGCCCAGAACTTCCTGTGACGATCGTTTTTATACGATCGTCGTTGGCACTGAGCCAACAGGTCGTTCACTCATTATTCTGACTAATTAGCACGTGCACGTTGACTAATTGACAAACGGACGATGTGTAAGATTCGACATCCGATCTATTTCCGTTATATTTTTTCCATCCTCTAATGAAAAAATATGTTAACCCTAAAAATTTTCGAACTCAAACCCCTCGGGCTCACAGCAAGCAAATCGGCGTGGCAACACTGGTTCTGAGTGAAACCGACAGCTGGGACGCCTAGAGAACCCTAAAATGAAGGTACTGTGACCCTGGTGCCTATGATGAAGTTCTTTAAAGCTTCTAATGTCTGTTTACTCATGTCTTTTACAAAAGTCTTTTGGAGCACAGGGCCAATGGAGGCTACACCTGTACAAAGTCTTAATGAGGGTCTTTCTTAGTGTCTTAAACTTGGGACACCTGAAGATTATGTGGTGGGGATCTTTGTCTTTGCCCAAACCACAGTCACATACTCTGTCTCCTTTGTGGAGAAATCATCTTAAGTAGGCACGGAAGTTCCCATGCCCCATAAGGGTTTGGGATAGGTGAAAATCAGGGGTGAAGTAATCCATCTTTTTCCTACTTGCAATGTCATGGGTAGTTCTTCCTGTAGATTCGCTGTTCCATCTGGCTTGACAGTCTGAAATAGTAAGTTTTTTAAGTTCCTCATGAAGCCAACAGCTGGGGAGCTCCCCAAACACTGGTTTTGTTGATGATCGTGCTGTTGTCTTTGCAAGAAGGTCGGCCTTCTCATTTCCCCCAATGCCAGAGTGGCCCCCTAACCCATGTAAAAGAGACCTTAAGGCCTTTCACAGATAGGCACTGGAGAAAGGTTACTGTTTGTGCAATGATGATCAGTTTTGTGTTTAATTTGTGGACTTGTAGTAAGGCTGTCTTGCTGTCACTAAGAATTTCCATATAAGTTTTATTTTTCTCGTAAAGTGAGTGTCTACATACTGGAAAGCCTTGAGTATTGCAAGGCTCTCAGGTTGACTGTATTATGTCCTTCCAGTTTTCTACTCATCTGCCAAATGTTCCATTCATTTGGTCCAATGATAACTGTAGAACACCCTACACCCTCTGGTGTCTTTGACCCATCTGTAAGTATTTTGAACCGTAGCTGATTTTCTTGGGTAGCGATGTGGATATTATATATAGGATGTTGGCTGCAGGCAGGGTATAGTTTATAGTGCTTGTGAGTGTACTCCATATTGTGTTTAATGATATACTTGGCTATGTTTTTAATACTTGTAGAAAGGTCAATTTCTATAGACATTTTTTACAGAATATAATAATATAATTTACTTTTATTTTTAGGAGATGATATTAAACCTTGTCCTTGCTGCAAAGTACTAATTGTGAAGATGGATGATGGATCTTGTAATCACATGACATGTAGTGTTTGTGGAACAGAATTTTGTTGGCTGTGTATGAAAGAGATATCAGATTTGCATTACCTTAGGTAATTTTTATCAGTAGTTTTAGCATTAAAGTTAGCTAATCAATTTTTATAATTAGTGAAAAGTTTGTTTATTAAATACTTTTCTGGGTGAAATAGGTTTATATCCAGATTAAAAATGTTTTGTTTAGACTTAATTTTAAGTGGATATGCAATTCATATGCTAAAATTTACTTTAGATGTTTATGATGTATTTAAATTAAAACATTATATACAATTTTAAATTTGCTTGGTAATAGTAATATAAATTGGCCAAATTTTTATCAACCTATATTAAGGCAAATTAATTTGAAACAAAGGAATTTGACTAAAGGTAGGCAGTTAAGCTGCCATCTCGTTATAAGTTTAATAATTATAAATTAATTTTTAATTTAGGATACTCTGGAAGAAAAGACTTCAGATTTTTATTGGTTTAACTAACTTTAATATAGCTTGATAAAAATCTGGAAGATTGTTTGGTATTACTAATGTATCAAAATTATGTATGTTATATATAACTTTACATGTGCTTTTGTAGTTAGGTTATTTTTAAAATATTTTCTATGTATTGTTTCCTAGCAACATCAACATTCCAAGCTATATATATATATTATATAATGTGTGTGTGTTTAAATATTAAAAGAGCAGTTAAATAGTTATTATAATGTTAACATTTAATTATAGTCCTTCTGGCTGTACATTTTGGGGTAAAAAGCCATGGAGTAGAAAGAAGAAAATATTATGGCAATTAGGAATGCTTGTTGGTGCTCCAGTAGGAATTGCACTAATTGCTGGTATTGCTGTGCCTGCTATTATTATTGGAATTCCTGTGTGGGTAGGTCGTAAGGTAAGTATGAAGTTAAAATATTTAAAAATTAACATTTAAAATAATTTATGAGAATGTAGTCATTAAATTTTAGATTCTAGACACACTGAATGCTAAGTACAATTAATTCTTAAAAAGTAAAAAAGTTATGAACTGTATACTTTATTATTACTACTCTGAGCCAGTCTGTTTCTTAGTGTTCTTCTAAATATTCAGTAATAACGATGTCAAGTTCATACTACCACTACTACTACCATCGCCACTACCACCACTACTACCACTACCATCACCACTATCACCACTACATACACTCCTTACAAGTAAACTTTGTTTTGATCATCTGATATCTATTGGTTTTCATATATATGTGTGTGTGTTGTTCAAAGTCCTACATATATCAATAGTAAAACCTCTCTTTTGTGGCCATCTCTATTTTTGATTACCTCATTTGTGACCAGAAGAAAAATTCCCAAAAATTTTCCATTGATTTAAATGGTATGTAGACCTATATTATATGACCATTTATTTTTGGTCCTTTATGTACAAATCAGTCTCTGAAATTGACCATTTGCAAAAGTTGCTTCAAATGCAATTTCTTTGCCATATGGAGCTACTTTCTATGTTCTGTTTTTAAGCAGTGATGGATTTAAAACCCACTTGGAGTTCCTCTTCATAATTTTATGGTATCAGATACTTATGAGTGTAGGCTGAAAAGTAATGCACACATGCTTGTAGAACACAAACAAAAACAAATATCAAGATCAGGCAAAAAGTACATTAAAGTACAATTCTTAAGCTTCAAAATCATATATTTATTTTTCAACATAGTCACCATTAAGGCTAACACATTTCTCCCAACATGTAACAAGTTTTTTTTATTCTGTCCTCTCTCTCATCATTACACCTCATCATCCGAGGTGTAATGATTACCTTTGAGGTCTCTCTTGAGTAGAGGAAAAAAAATCGCAAGGCACAAGATCAGGGGAATAAGGAGGGCGTGGAATCGGTTCAAACTTCAGGTTTAGCAGAGCCTCTCCAGTTGCGCGCTAGGTGTGTGGACGAGCATTGTCATGTTGCAAGATTATTGGCACCAAGTGATTATTTGTGTTAGAGGCAGTTTGGCGCCAATAATCTTACGACATGAAAACGCTCGTCCACACACCTAGCGCAACTGGAGAGGTTCTGCGAAACCTGAAGTTTGAACTGATTCCACGCCTTCCTTATTTCCCTGATCTTGTTCCTTGCGATTTTTATTATTTTTGTATAATTTACGGTAAAGCAATTTACCATGCAATTGTATATTTTTTTTCCACGTTTTTAGTCTGAGACCAGAACCTCCAGACACGTGCTCACAAACCTTTTGGTTCTGAATGAATATCCTTCTTGTCTTTAAGTTGTTGCAAATTCTGTAATACTGTATGTTAAAATAAGGGTTGTAAATATCACATTCTGTTTTGTGCCCACCTCCCTTGTGTGACCACTTTTGATTTTCCCCTACAGTAGTCACAAATGGGAGGTTTTACTATATATACTAATGCTGGCAACTTTGATCATCAGATTCATACCTAATTTTAGTATTTCATTAAGCGTTAAAAACTTTTAGTATTTGAAGTAATGAATATTTCAAATTATTCTTTAATTAATTTTGAAAATTGTCTTGTCTTTGATATTTTGCAACATTTTTTTTTTTAGAGATTGTAGATTAAAAAATAAAATGTAATTTAAATTTAGAATTATGGAAAAACAAACATTTCAGGAACTATTTTCAGTCTCAAATGAAACTTTGAATGACAGCTTAAGTAGAATAGAAGCAAAAGAAATTTGAGATTTTTATAGCTTGTATGCTTGTATAGCTATAACAATAATTACCTTGAATACCTGTAGCATGTCCAGAAATCAAGCTGTGATTGCACATCCTGACCCATACAGACACTGCACAGTGGGGCCAAATCCCAAAAAGCTGGCCAAAAGTCAAAAGCGTTATCAATTTGACTGAAAGTCAGTATTCGAGTGTTTTCGGGATCTCTGATTACGAATCCGAAGTCAAAATTTAAAATAAAAACAAAATGACGGATTTAACACGTACCACTTTTATAGAAAAAGTACAAAATAAATCCATATATTGTTTAATACGATAAAACATACAATCGGTTGATTAAAAGTTTATGCATCGTCGTCCTAAGAATAATTTGATTCGCAATCAGATGATTCAACTTTGAAATCGCTGGAGCTTCCCGTACTTGCTGGTATATGTGGCGCAACTAACAATAAAACTGCTTCTGGAAGCAACGACTTTGAGTTTTTTCGAGATAATTCGCGCAAACTCGAAATAAACGGATCGGATATTAATAATATGCGTAAAATAATGTCTTCCATTGTTTTCGCTCGGAAACTTTTCTTGCAAAATTTTCTCGAAACTTTTTAATGTATTTATTAGTAGACTCTTGAGCGTCTTCGGACATCTGCCCTATCGGCAATACCGATGAATTTATCACTTCTGCACCATGAATCAATATCTTATGTACCAAAGTTGGTATGCAGAACCACGGATATAACTGCACAAAGTAACGAGCTGTCTGTAAGGCATAATCTTGAAATTCTATGAAATCGATTTCATGGCCACACGAAATTGTCTGTAATATGACAGGGAAACGCTTAATCAAGTCCTCATCAACCCCTGTAATAGCAGCAGAAATGCTTGAGTTTTTGAAAAATCGTTGAGCGGTATCCCATCATTCGAGCTACTGAAACCAGGCTTTGGTTGATCGACTATTAGACCCAATTCTATACCGAAACCCTTCTATATATTCATTTTTCAGAGTCTTATTTGTTTATTTTCTTTATCACTACGCGCTTGCCACAGTTTGATTTCAAGCTTATACGCTACACGCAAACAACATTCAAAACACACAGACAAATTCAAGAAAAGGAGCAAAACATTCCGCGTCGTTAATGTACAAAATTCAGAAAACTATGTTTTACATTGCAAGAACTTGCAACAATGACACAATTGCAGCTAGTTGCAGCTAGTTTTAATTTTTTTCATTCAATAATACTTCCATCTACAACATGCGATCGGTCCAGTCGCAGAACTCTACAGAATTTATGAACTTTTCTCTACATGTTTAAAATTTTCTGTTGTAATCTTCCGTTCATTTTCATACAAATCATTCGTTTACTGTTATCACATAAAATATTATTATCAATTTTGTGTTACATAAAGATATTCTACATACTTGCAGCTGCAGTTTCCATTTTTTAAATTTAAATTTGATTGATTTTTAGAGATTTGGCACTCTCTTGAATATAGCGTAGAAATCTTTGCTTACTGCATGACGCTTCTAGCTCGATTGAGAGTCCCCTTTCAACTGAACTACAGTAGCAGGTATAAAGGATAGGGGGCGCTAAAGTCTAGAATTCGACCTTCGGACTCTTATCCAACCTAACCCACGACTAGAAATTACCGGTACTTAAACTCTATTTTTCGACTTTTGGCCAGCTTTTTAGGATTTGGTCCCACTGTGCACTGATTGGTACACAGGCTGTTGTCTGCTAGTTATTCTCATGGAGATCAAGCTGACAACAGCTCACACATTTTAAGTTTTTGTTCTTGAGCTTGAGGTTTGTAATTATGTATGGAAATGTCTGCTAAAGTTAAACTTTTTGCTAGTTGTGAGTAGGATTATTTTTGTTTTAAGTACTGACTTGTCAAGTCTTTTCACTTTTACTCAGACTCAATACTCAATTTAAAACGCAAGTTCAAAGTTCATATATATCTTTGAGTGGGTCTAGACATTTGTGGCTTGAATGAATGAATTCAAAAATTGGTTAACTTGTGATGATGATGATTGTTCAGCTTGTTGCATCATTTGCAATATCTCATTTAGTGTTAAATATGATAGAATTAAAGCATTTACAAGACATGCCGATGAAAAAAGAAATGCATCTTCTCATTTATCTTCTCTCCTCCTGGTTGTTAGGTCAGCCAACGAAACAGTTTCCAAAGATGGCAGTCCTTGATGACATTATGGGATAGTTCTTTGAGTATAAGGGAATTAGCTGCAATTTCTTTGAGAGTAGTGTTGCAATATTAACTTTATCTGAAATGAGATTACAAATATATTTTGTAATACACAATAAAAGCATATATATCCACATAAATGGAGAATTTTCAGGTTTTTTTGAAAGGTTAATTCTGGATTTTCCAATCATTTTCCATTCTCTTAAGCTTTGTTTGTTAATTAATGAATGTATTATGCTCATAATGTGAATCATTCAATTTTTTAGAAAGTATTCAAAAGAATTGTAATCTGCAGTTTTAAGTGGAATTAGTCTGAAGAAATTTTGGTTTTGTCCTATCACTAGTGGCAATACTTTCTCAGCTGAGTTGCTGTAGTGTGTATGCAGTACAGTGAGCAGTATTAGTTCATGCATTTTCCTGGAGAATGATTGTGATCATCTTCCCGAAAGAAAGATTCATCTTTTGTGCAATTTTATGACAGGTTGTATGTCAGTTGTCTAGGATCAAGTGTTCCACATGCTTGATGTTTACAAGAATGACTGCTTTGGGCTTGGAACCACCATGACCAGGATCATCATTTACAGATCTCGGACCATTTTGAAAATGTTTATGCCATATTCAAATGTCTTACCGTGGCTGAGTGTCTCATCACCATATTGTGCTTGAAATCTTCAGTAAACATCTGTGGGTTTTACACCTTGTTTCACAAGAAACTTCATTACAACTCACTGTTCCACAAGAGAACTAACAACACTGTTGTTCACCATTTTGAATAACTCTCATGTGACTGTCCTGAGATGGTCATGCTGCCTACAATGGCACACTTTCCACTTATTAGTACAATTAGTAGAGCCACATTAGCATCTCTTCCTGTACCTGTAAAACTTCAAGTCCTGGTTTGACTTGAATGTCCCTCATAATTATTCTTAATTTTCTTCACTTTTTCTGTACACTTACATGCCCACATGTTTAGTAAATATGAATTATTTAGTTATTTATA